AAACCTTACCACGAGAACCTGCGAGCCATCACCACAGTATTTGCGAAGACAAAAACCCTACCACAAGCATCCGCGAACCATCACCGCGGCATTTGCCAAGACAAAAACCTTACCACGAGCACCTGCGAGCCATCGCCAAAGTATTTGCGAAGACAAAAACCTTACCACAAGCATCCGCGAACCATCACCGCGGCATTTGCCAAAACAAAAACCTTGCCACGAGTTCCTGCAAGCCATCACCACAGTATTTGCCAAGACAAAAACCCTACCACAAGCATCCGCGAACCATCACCGCGGCATTTGCCAAGACAAAAACCTTACCACGAGCACCTGCGAGCCATCACCACCGTATTTGCGAAAACAACAACCCTACCACAAGCATCCGCGAACCATCACCGCGGCATTTGCCAAAAACCTTACCACGAGCACCTGCGAGCCATCACCACAGTTTTGCGAAGACAAAAACCCTACCACAAGCATCCGCGAACCATCACCGCGGCATTTGCCAAGACAAAAACCTTACCACGAGCACCTGCGAGCCATCACCACAGTATTTGCGAAGACAAAAACCCTACCACAAGCATCCGCGAACCATCACCGCGGCATTTGCCAAGACAAAAACCTTACCACGAGCACCTGCGAGCCATCACCACAGTATTTGCGAAGACAAAAACCCTACCACAAGCATCCGCGAACCATCACCGCGGCATTTGCCAAGACAAAAACCTTACCACGAGCACCTGCGAGCCATCACCAAAGTATTTGCGAAGACAAAAACCCTCATCACCACAGTATTTGCGAAGACAAAAACCCTACCACAAGCATCCGCGAACCATCACCGCGGCATTTGCCAAGACAAAAACCTTACCACGAGCACCTGCGAGCCATCACCACAGTATTTGCGAACACAAAAACCCTACCACAAGCATCCGCGAACCATCACCGCGGCATTTGCCAAGACAAAAACCTTACCACGAGCACCTGCGAGCCATCACCACCGTATTTGCGAAGACAAAAACCCTACCACAAGCATGCGCGAACCATGACCGCTGGGTGTAGCATTAGGTCTCTTGCGTGGTTCATTTGAAAGGATTGAAACGATGTAGTGCACTGAAAGTGTTTTTAAATCTTTCAACTAACAACACTCGTTGTCCTTTTTCTTTGCCCTGGCTGTTTCGCATAGTGTAATGGAATAGAAGCATGCTTCTGTTCCTTCGTTACCTTGTATTATACTAGAGCAACAAAGACAAGAAAAACCAAGACACCGAGGAAGTCGCGTGTCTTCCGCAAAAAGCCTTAATCAACACGGTGGACCCCACAAACTACCTCTCGGGACCCTACCCGCAAACTCCCCAAACTCCCTAAACTACTACAGAGCCTGGAGAGTTAGGGAGTTTATGGAACTCCCTAAACTCCCTCCCGAATCCCTCCTCGCAGACCCACCAAACCCAAACTCCCTAAATAGAGAGTTTAGGGAGTTTAGGGAATTTAGAATTTGGGGGGTTGGGGTGGTCGCCCAAACTCCCTAAACTCCCTCCCGAATCCCTCCGCGCAAGACCCCCAACTCCGCAAACTCAACTCCCTAAATAGAGAGCTTAGGGAATTTAGGGAGTTTGAGGGGTCAGGGGTGGTCGCCCAAACTCCCTAAACTTCCTCCGAACCCCTCCCCGCATATCCCGCAAACTCCCCAAACTCCCCAAATAGAGGGCAGGGTCTTGGCCCAAACTATCTAAGCTATCTGAACCCTCTCCGCTCCAGACCACCGGGACCTCCCCAAACTATCTAAACTACCTAAATTATTTGAACTATCGAAACCCTCCCGGCTTAAATAGTTTGGGGAGGTTCCGCTGGTCTTGGGCGGGAAGGGGTTTAGATAGTGTAGACAGTTTGGGGCGGTCCGGCTGGTTTGGGGCGGGGAGGGTTTAGATAGTTTACACAGTTTAGATAGTTTAGATAGTTTGGGGCGGTCCCGCTGGTCTGGGGCGGGAAGGTTAAGATAGTTTAGATAGTTTGGGCCAAGACCCGGACCACCCAAGCTGTCTAAAGTATGTACACCTTTGTCCTCCTGCCTTGGCAGGTACGTAACGTGATACAGAAACGTTCTTCAGACGCATATGTGTATATATGTGTGTATATTCACTTGCGTATTTATCTATTTGCCAATATCTTTCTCTCTCTCTCTCTCTCTCTGTCTCTTTCTCTTGCTGTCTGTCTTTAGGCTTTTCTTTCGTACAAGTACTTTCTTTCTCGCCGTATATCCTCTCATTCCTTCTTTCTGTCCTTACATTGTGATTTTAGTCGTTCTTTCGTTCTTTCCTTCTTCGTATTTTTGCTGGTTTGCCTGTTTAGCTGTTTGTTTGGTTCTTTCTGCTTTTATTTCTGTCCTGTTGGTTCGTTGGTTCGTTCGTTCTTTCTTCTGCCCGTCCTCGTGTGATCCTTTCGTATGTCTTTCCGTTGTGCTTCTGTCTTTCTTGCTTTGTGTCTTTCTTTCCTTCCTGTCATCCTTGCACGTGCCTTTCCTGCCTCCACCGTCACCCAAAACAAAACGACAATAAAAATAACCAAAAAAACACACACCCTTCTACTGTAGCATTGTTGGTACTGTGATTATTAGTAGGCATCGTCGTCGTCGTAGCAGTAGTAGTAGCCGCAGAAGTAGAAGCAATAGCAGTAGTGGCAGTCATCGTCGTTGTGGGCCTCAGAACTCATTTGGTGTTTCGGAGCAGCATGAAACCAGAAGGGCGGACAGGCGAAAAGCGGAGCAAGACGGGCGGAAAAGATGAGGGTGGAAAAAACTGACGCAGAAGAACAGAACAATGGAGCAGGATAGCGAAGGATACAAGCAAATAAACTGAAAAGCAAATACGCAACCAAGCGGAATGCAGAAAGGCAAAAGGACAAACAGGCAGAAACTATACAAGCAAACACTGGCAGAAGGCAGAAAGAAAAGCCGAAACAAGCAAAAAAAGCGGAGGAACGGAAGAGCGAAGCAGACAAGCAGAGAAACGGAAAAAAAGAAAAACTGAAGCAAGAACAAGCAGAAAAAGACAAGCAAACAAAGGCAGAAAGGTAAACCTGTGAGCGATTGAGTGAGCGAGTGATCGAACTCGATGACGCACTGTCAATATCAGAACATCTGCAGCTGCTGACACCAAACAACAAGCAACCGCAAGGTGTGTTGACTGCTGCCTTCTGTGAGAGAGTGTCGGGGTGCCGCCCTCGCGCCGACTCGCCGAAGGGCTCGTCTAGCGCAGGGCCAACACTCGTCCGAAACTTCACAGACAAGCTGCGGTCAAAACACTGTGGGATTCAGAGCTAATGGGGCTGCGGCCAAAGGATGGCAGCTCAATCAAGTGCATACCTCGCCTGCACAGATACCCGCAAGCTCCAGGATTCAGCGCAGCCAATGACATGACAAAGCATGATATCATTGACAAACTCCTGCCCAGATGCCCGGAAGCTCCAGGTTTCAGCGCAGCCAACGATAGGAACAAACATACAAAGGACATAAAAGGTCTGTCAGCATGTCATTAACAGACGCCTGCACAGATGCCCGCAAGCTCCGGGATTCCGCGCAGCCAATGGCCCCAAAAATCCCAAACTCTTGAGAGAAAAAGGGGTCAGGCTTGGACGGGCGCGCTCCGAGAGTACGGATAGCCATATCTACAAACGAGAGTCACGCACAGCAGCTCTTGTCCTGCTCGTGCCGATTTCACTTCTCCGCGTGTTTTGCTGGACGTGCGGTTGCATGCCGATCCCTAGCTTGCAGTTGGGTCCGATGTTCCAGGACTCCACGCCTCCAAGCCTCTCAGGGTTTGCATCCCAGAGTGATTGCTTCCGGGATCACGTCCTTGAGCTGGAATCGGATACTGAAAAAGCCGCACTGGCTTCCGGTGCTCACGCGACGTCTCAAGCTGCGCTTAAAGCTCGACTTGAGACTGACTTGGGACAGGCTACCGCTCTAGGATCTCATCGGCCACTTCTCTACTTCGTAGTCGATTCGCTACTCCGGCAGAATGGCCGAACCCGAGCCCGTCGAGTGTCATTCCGCCATGAACCGCAAGAGCCACGACTTCAAGAGGTGCAGCTGCTCAGAAGCTGATGGCACCATGTCACGATGGCCTCGGGTTCGGCGTCAAGTACAGACATGCTTCGCTTGCCCAAATGACTATAGCCTCCCTCCTTCAAGATTGACTGTGACTGGTCTATGCAGTGTAAGCAAGCAATCTTTGGGCAGGGCGAGCCTCGCGGAGTGCAAGTCCGCGACTCCAAAGCCACTTTGGCATACTCAGTCTTGATCTGCAACGGTGGAACAGGTCCGCTTCGTGCAGGTTCTGGCCTGAGTGGACCTTTTTCGATGCACCCGTCGCGGCCAATGCCTCAGTGTTATGTTCGTTTACAAGACCACGTCGCTTCAGGCATGCATCAGACATGCAATGATCCTTTCTGAGAGCCGCACACACAAGGCTTCGAAAACGCCGGCCCTGAGTCAGGAGTGCGGTGCAAGTGCAGTCTTGCAGGCACTCCAGGAAGAGCTCGAGGCAGCCTCAGCCCCGAAATCACCTCGTTCCTCCACCCAGCCCCTTAACGCCCTAAATCTACCCCTCCCTCGCTGCGATCCCCCGCCTTAAAGCCGGTGGCGGCGCGGAAGGAAGGTACCAGCGCCAAAATCACCTCAAAACGGCCAGCAGTCTGGAAGTTAACAGGGATTGAAAACCTGGCTCTACATGTGTCATAAATTTCTGCATATATGCATCTATAGAGCGAGAGCGACAGTGGGAGAGAGAGAGAGAGCGCCGGCTATCTTGCAGTCTGCTTCGGTTCACATAGCCGTAGAGGGTTTGGGCCCCGCCCCAGCGCCAGTCCTGGGACGAAAACCCGAAAATGCCCGAATATGTACACCCGCAACATGAATTGCAAATCCCTGACAAGAGGGCGGGCAGCCGCTCCATTCAGCGGAGCAAATACTGCTGACTGTAACAGAACAACGGGCACAACTTTCAGTGTTTGAAGCCATGGGATTTTATGACTTCAGCACATGCCTCACGCTTGCTACTGAAGCAGTCGGTGTCATAGCCGGTCTCACCGAAGGACGGAATGGAGCCCATGATTTCCCTTACGCCGTCTTGAAGAATGCGGAAGAGAGGGACCCAGCGAACCCAGAGGGGTAGGCTTGGATGAACCCAGGCTGGCCATCCCAAGCTCTTGTAGAGCTCCAGCGCTGAGGATAAGCGAATCGTGGTTCGGACATCAGACCAGCGGCAGGCAGACATGACAACGAGATTTGTTTTTGCGTCCCCCTCGTTGCTAACCCGGTGCCAGGACCATGGCGGGTTGAACAGCGAATCACCAGCTTTCAATTTTACCAAAGCTTTGGGAAGGAAGGGGTAGATACGATCGATCGTTTCGTGGTTGGCGGGCAGATATCCCCAGGATCCAATGCCTCCCGGGATTGTCGGCCCCAAGAAGATGGAGAAGCGGTAGTTGATCAATTCCCAGACTTTCGTCCCGTGATAGACGCTCACCAAGTTTGGGTGGTTTGCCATGTGCCACTTAAGGCCCTCGCCCGGACCGTTCACCAGCAAAGAAAGAGATCGACAGCCGGTGCCAAGCTGAAGCGCATCGAGGCCTAGCGATGGAAAGATCTCGGGGAACTGGCTGAGCATTGTGTCCATCCCAGCATCATATCTTCTCGTTTCGCCTCGCTGGAGGCCTGCCACATACTCCGAGAAGTTGGTGTCCTCGCTGACCTTCACCTCACTGTCATTGTAGTGCAGACCCTTCCCCAAGGTCATGGCCATGACTGTGAAGTTACCATAGCGCCGGACCCACTCGGGTTGTCCAGCCTCTTGGCAGGCAGAGGCCTCTCGGACAAGACCTCGGATAACCACTGGGAGCCTCCCGTCTTCTGACAGCCTCCGCAGCTTCTCCACACTGTACTCTTCAGCCTTGATCTCCGGGAGTTCGTAGGTCTCCTCAAACTGGGAGGGGCTTAACCATCTCTCGAAATGGAAGTAGCTCTCCAGCATTTGCATCCAGGCCTCTTTGGCCCAGGGCATGTAGTTCGCACACGGAACGTACACGTGGAGACATAGGGTCAAGCGTCTTTCTGGAGAGCATACAGCCCCGAAAAGGGCAGCCGAGAGAAGGCCCCCGACCAGGTGCCAAGCCAGCTTCACTTTCATGCTGCTGGAGGCGACTCAGCTTGAACGACACAGACTGGTATGCAGAACGGCACGGACTCCTGCTTGGGCCACTTCAGCAGGCATAGTCCTTGCACACATCAGGAGTCACTTGACCGCCTTGCGCTCTGTACCGTTGTGAGGACTACCCCCTAAAGGCCAGAACTGTGTGCGATTTTGCTTCAGTCCGCCTTTCTCACTGCTGTCGCTGAGCTTCAGGACGTCTTTGAAACGACGTAGGCCTGAAAGACCTGTAGAGGTTGTGGAGGTCTGGTGTTTAGCGGGGGTGCGGCATGCAACTGGATCAGCTGGTGCATGGGGCTCTTTTCTCCAGACGAAGCCTGAGCCGACACGATATGTGAGAACTGCACAGGAAGATTTGCCAGCTTTTGCTGGCAAGAAGCATGCAAGTCAGCAAGGTCTACTCCTTGGACTCACACTTCGATGTACTCTCCGTCAGAAGGCCCAACCAGAAGAACAGCCCCGCTGCGAGGCATGTGCTGGCCTGGAAACCAATGAACAACTTCAAGCCTCCATGGATCAATAGCTGGGTGGAGACCATCGAGAGAAGGCTGGGAAGCACTCCCTGACTGAAAGTCTGACATGAAGCCGCCACACCGGCACAGTCTGCGAGCGGCTCGAGGAACAGAACATTCAATGCGATCACAGCTACGTTTATCACACTGGACTGTAGGAAAGATCCCACCAAATAAGCCCAGAGGAACTGCGAGTAGAAGCATCCTAGCAGGACAGAGACGATGCCGGCACAGGCCAAAAGCGTCAAGGATGTGTTGCAGATCTCCAGAACCGAGGCACTACTGAAACAAGACCGCTTCACCATGAGGCCCAGAATCAGAAAACCTCCATATGCAAACTGGACCAGGGCTGAGGCCGTCATCGAAATCCCGAAGTCGACCTCTGTGACATAGCTCGTGTTCGATTCGAAGGTCAAAATCGCTGCTGTGAGGGAGCCCATTGTTAGTAGCAAGCTTATCGAACGGAAGTTCAGAATGCGCGATAGGTCCTGGTAGTAATCCCGCTCTTCGACTGCCTCATCTGGGCAGCTTTCCACGATTGCCACCCAGGCATAAACTGCCATCAAGGCCCAGATCCCGGCCAGCCCCATAAAAGAGATGCGCCAGTTGAAGAGACCTGCAAGCCATGCCCCAAAAGTGGGTGCTACCAACATACCGAGAATGGACATCGTATGCAGAACTGAAATAACGGTGTAGCGCTCGTCAGGCTCTGCCATATGGTCACGGACGACTGCGAAAATCACTGGTTCCACTGATTCCCCTATTCCCTGGAGGATCCTTGCAGCCATGAACCACTCAATCCGTTGGGAGCATGCACAGCCCAAGCTTCCGAAACAGAGAACGATCATGCTCGCGATCAGGACAGGTCGGCGGCCGATGCGATCAGAGAGGCCAGCGGTCAGAAGCCCAAAGACCGCCTTGACAATGAAGTTCAGCTGCACCGTGAGGCTCATCAGGCTTTGTGTCCCAGACAAATCCTTTTCCATCTGGGGGAAGCTTGGCACATACTGATCGATCGTGAAGTAAGTGAGGGTGTACACAATCCCGAGGAAGATCACACAACCCTTCGGATAGCTTTTCTGCACGCTTGCATGTTGCGGGGCCTTCGCAGGCAAGCCAAACAGCCAAAGGCAAATGACGACCAGGATCAGGCAAGCATATACACTGCTGACTACGTACTTGGTCAACCATTCGCCAAGCTGGGACTTGAGAGGAAACCCATCCAGAACCTCCATCTGGACTTGAATCTGGAGAAAAGATGGAAAGTCGCATGAGTCTGCCATACTGTCGTCAGCATGCAATGCGAGCGTCAGCTGGGTGAAGGATTCATCGAGGCCGTGCGATGCTGTAGATAAGTCGAGTAAGCGTCGTGTTCCTGAAGCTGTGATTCGTAGGATAGAACGTGCAAAACCCCCCCTCCTTCGTACATCACAGTGCCTATCGAATACACTGCGCAAGCTCAACGTAAACAGCCGAGATAAATCTCGATCGGTCTGTCGGTACAGTCTCTTGAGCAGAAAGAGCTTGGGATGTGCCGAATCTCTATGTGACATGGGCGCGATTCGGATCAATCAACATGTGATAGAGCTGCTCTTCGGCGGTTCCTTCTAAGGAAAAAGCCAGAAAGTTGGAATATGATTATCCTAACCCTTCTATGGTAAATTACAAGGTATCCTACCATGAAACCGTATTCCAACTTTCTGGAATTCCCTGTAGGGCCGCCGCGCCAGGCCCAGGTCTGCATCTTTCGCCTCGAGCCTCGGTGACCGCGCCATCGCGCTCAAACCCAAAGAATAGTGAAGTCTTGCTAGTGTTACTATAGTATGCTGCAATATCTACAAAAAAACATAATTTCAAAATATACTAGAATAGACCATAACATACAATAATCTACTATTGATATACTACGATATGTTCTATTGCTTGCCGCTGCGCCTAAACCGGCGTCTGATCTGCATCTTGCAGTGCAATGTTTTCACAGCACGGCGACTTGAGTTCTCTTGATGGCCCAGCACAACAAGAAGCTGCCTGCTGCCTGCAAATTGCAGGAGCTGAACACTATGCTTAGGGTCATGACTGCTCTAGAAATGTCCATGAACTTTTAGTGCCAAAGCCGAGCTTCACAGTGCATTGCTCCCTTCACACTTGAAACGTGCCTAACTACAGAGACATGACTCAAGGCCATTCCTCCACAGCCTTACCTGGTTCAAGCATTACTCTGTAATGCTTTGTCTCTGCCAGCCTCGCCTTGTGAATTCAAACGTGGGTGCCCATATGTTGTGTGAGGGAATGTGGCAATGGGCAACCCAAGAGGAGGCAACTGCAACCAAAGAGCACTACGACGTTGAAACCATGCCTGCCTTTCGCTTGAGGGAGATGGTCTGCAGAATATGAGAGCACCGCAGTTGGTTGGAAACGCTTGAAACCAAAAACTGTGAAGTCTTGCTTTTCTTAGGGAAGGGATGCAGAAAAACATCGGGGCGCCTCAATGACTTCCCGGCGCACACACAGAGAAAAGCCTCAAAACACCGTTTCAGCAGTCGCAGATCGTCAGATTTCTTCCCAGGAGTTGTTGCCCTTGTACTAAGCCTGCGGCTGAGCTTACGAGAATCAGCGCTGTCAAACACAATGCGGCGTCCTTCCAGAAGCCTGAAACAGAAACAGCAAGACACACCCTTCAACTTTCAACTTTCGAGGTGACGCGAGCCTGCCCTTGCATCTTCGGCAGGGCCAGCATCCTCTGCGGGCTCTCGCCTGGCCTTCATGCGGAGGCTCAGGCTGCAGGCAATGGCAAGCGCAGCACAAGATGAAGCCAATCGGCAGTGTTTTGACCACTGCAGCCGGACCTAGTACCTAGTAAGCGAGGATGCTGCAGAGGTACGCTTGTCCAAAAAGCACTGTCACATAGATGACAGTTGCAGGGATACCGTGCAGGCAGGAGGGCAGGCACGGCTCCATCCCCAAACTTACGAACAGACATATACAGCATGTCGCCGCTACGGCACAAAGAAACCTTGTCTCTGACTGCGTTCCAGCCAACTGATCTACAAGAAGGTATGTGCTTGCAAAGAACATTGTGGCCAAGTTTCTCTGGCCTTGCAGGTATGCCCTCGCTGAATTGCCACCTGCATCACTAAAGGCCGTCTTCTGGCGCGGCACAAGGATGAGAACACAAAGAAGAGCCAGAAAGGACAGGAAACAATGCACGATGTCCACGAACATGTCATGACCCACATCCCCTGCCACTCCACTGTAGCCCGCGCCAGATGAAGGATCACGCTCGTACTCGTAGTTTATGCTGCTGAAGTATGTCATCACGGCGGTCAGCAGCAATGCTGCGCAGCACTTGCAAATAGCAGTCTTCACTAAGAAGGGTTTGATCCAGCCAAGCAGTGCCCCAAAGCCAAAGTACCACAGAAACAGGTGCGAACCGGCCTGGCGAGTATAAGGCACGAGAGCCACTGCCAGCGGCTGCGGATCACCTCCTTCAATATCCAGAAAATTCTTGGCAGCAGTGAAGCCTGTTCCAAAGTGTAAGGCAGATGCAAGCACGAGCCGCACTGCCCATGCAGCCCGGCGCGGAAGCAGAGAACGCGTGACAATGTGCAGAAGCCGTGCCCAAAACATGAACATGAAGAACCAAGGATAGTCACAGCTGCTATCGACTCCGGGTTTCGCTAATTTCAGGAGGCGTCCAAAAACCCATGGGATAAGCAGCTGTCCGAGCGAGCGGAATGTTGGAGATTCTCGCTCGTCCACATACCCTGCATACATCGCAAATCCTTGCATGGACATGGTGCCCCACAAATTGTTCAGAGCGTGATACTTCCCTGCAGCCTTGTCGTCCAGAATTCTGCGGACAAGGAAGGAATGGTGACCCAGGAACACACCCATCATCATGGCAAAATAGAAGTGGCCAAGTTCTGCTGGAGGTTTCTGATCCCTTGCCATCGCAAGCGAATCAAAGGAAGGCTCCTTGCTCTCCAGGTTTTCCATTAGCCATGTTGCTGCTGCCGCTGCATCCGCATCTGGAGAAGGCCCGCCCAACATCAGCCAGGAGAGCGTGGGCTCCTCGTGATCATCAGGGCTTAGGATGTACTGTAGGGTTTGCATTTTTTTTGAGGGCCCTTTTCTTTCTTGTTACAGTCGGAATACCTAGTAGGTAGAGCCGGGATGAGGACTACCAGGCACTCAGCAAAGGGTAAACTTGGGTTTGGCGTTTAGGGTTCAGAGTTACCATCTAACATTACATGGTAATGAGTTCGATTACAGTACTGTCATTGCTATGGTTCAACTATTCTTATGATCATGAAAGAACGTGGGCTCCATGCATTTCTGCAACGACTGCCGCTGGATCTCGCCTTTGACGCTCACGGGCATGTCCTGTGAAGGGTCTAGGGTTTGAATTAAGCGGTTGAAAGAAGCTAGCAGCTTCAAGAAGCTAGACACGCCTTGTGCTCAACAAATACTAACTAGAACAGCCATCATCACAACGTCCGACGTATAATTATGCCAGCGTAGACCCCAAACAAACCTTCATCTCCTTCCCGCAATCCAAAGATCAAAATTGTTGCTAGTATTACTACTAGTATTACCATTTCTAAGTCTAATCCTATTGATCACTGCATTGTTGCTATGCTTATTATTGTGAGTATGACAACTGCTAGCATTATTAAGCCCAATCCCCACAGCTGGGCCTGGCTCAAGACCACGTGCCTTAGCTGAGCAGTGTTGGGACATGAACAACACTACGATGCTCTGCTGCACCATGCTGCACGCAAAGACAAGAACGGAAAAGATATGGAGCAATGGAATCAACTAGAAACAGAAAAGGCAAAGAATAAAAGAAAACGATCACATATACACAAAAGAAATGCACAAAACAAGAAAAGAATAAGTCGCGTTCAGCCTCTCAGAAGGCAGAGACGCTGCCGGATTGTGTGGAAGTCGAAACGCCTTAAACAGGCGCGTGAAAGGGCTCTGCAGCTCAAGATGGGCTCACATGGGCACCTAAGAATAAGTCAAATGAAACTGAAATATAAGAGATGCACAGAAGCGGAAAAGACAGAAAAGGACTAATCATAACAGTAAAACAATTCAATCAAAAAAACAAGGACAAGAAAAGAAAAGCCGATAAGACAGAAAATAAATTAGATAAGCAGAAAAATACGAGAAAAACAAAAGAGGAAGAGAAGACAACCACTAACACGACAGGCAGCACAAGACGAGGCAAGATAGTGCAAGACAAAACACTACAAAACAAAGCGAAACACAACACAAAATGTTCCAGTGCCCTCGCCGGTGCTGTGGCAAGACTCGGGACCATTCGGGCTGCAAGGCGTTGCACTCCTGCAACTTGTACACGTCCAGGAGACGATTATTGTTATAGTGTGGTTTTGGCTATTCTTACTACCATTATTACTTGTAGCATCAATGTCGCTGCATGGCAGGTTGCACAGGTTGGGGTCCTTGCTTTTTCGGGGTTCTGGGTTAGAATTTCATGTTTCTGGTGCCTTTCAACCGTCGTTCTTCACCGTGATTTAATGGTTTTTCACCTGCTTTCACGCGTTTCCGTGGCTTTGGCGCTTTCTTGACAGCTTCTAATGCGATTTCAATTAAATTCCCCGGTTTGGCTGTCTTCTTGACAGCTTTTTACATCTGTCTTCACATGACGTCACTAAGGTTCAAGCTTCTTCCCGGGATTGGTGACACCTATCTTCCCCTGATTTCTCGGTTGTTCACGCTTGTTCACGGATCAGCTTCTTAACAGCTTTTCCCCGTGATTTCGCGACTGTTGACGGTTTTGGTGCCCAACCTGACAGCTTATTCATGTGATTTTCACTCTGTCCGCCTTTTTGCACCGTTGGTGCTTTGTGAGAAGTTGATCCGGTGAATTCGCAGTTTCTCATGTCTTGCACGGTTCTGGGTGCCTCTTTCACCATGTTCCACCTTTCGCGGTTTTGGGGGCGTCCGTCTTGTACCAGAATATCTGCTTCTGAACATTTAGTTATTCTCAAAAAGCTCACTGTCTACGTTCTATGCATTTTTAAATTTACATACAGAACCCCAAAATCCACCAAAGCTCACTGTGAGCATCGCTTCAGATCCAAAACCTAAACATGACACCCCTCAAACTATCCAAAACCTCCAAAGCCCAACACCCGGGCAGACTGTCCGTTGTTCATTTCCGTTACAAGGAGTAGCTTATTTATGTCCCTCCAGAGTGCGTGAAGTCGCAACACCGCCTTGTCACACGGGAACGCGTGCAGTTGCACCAGGGCGTTTCAAGTCACGCCACAAGCATAGCTGAACATCGGTTTCCCCAGTCCTGGGCACATGCCTCGCAACAGCTTCAACTAAGGATCAGATTTCTATTGCCACGCGTAGGCTTTCTTAGAAAATTACGTCCCGGAGCCTTGAACAGTCCAGTTTGGCACCATGTGCCTGCGCTTTCAGACATGTACAGTGACGGAGCTTATAAGTCGCATCACCTCTTGTCGGAGGACAGCTGTCTTAGGGGACGCGCGCGATGCGATGAGGTCACATCACCATGGAAACACACGTCGGTGGAATCATAACACCTCAGAACCAGCTATTCCCCTTGCAGGCGCTCGATTTCACAAGCAATCACTCAAGGCAAACACCAGTGGCATTACAGCACAACCAAGCCCGCCATTTCCCGCGACGAAGCTCCGTCACTGTCACAGTAGCTATCAGGTAGGAACCTCGTTTCAAGCCCAAGCCGACCCTGGACACTCTCCGACATCGCTGGAAGTAGCTTGCGTTTCGGGGTCTCGAACGGCACAGGGTTTTGGAATTGCATGAACCCAGTCCAAGTTGTCACGCAGCGTGTATCACGAAGTGTAAAACCCAAGAAAAACAGCTTAATCCCATGTGCACGCGCAAAGATACAACATCAATTCGCCGATTGCCGGGAATTGTTCAGAATGGCTTCCCCCCAGTGTCCTTTCGCAAAGGTATGACTTCACAATACTTCACACGGGGTGGTACGACTTCAAACAACAACACCAAAACCACCGCTTCCCAAAACCCCAGTCTCAAAGGCCCTTGTTGCAGTGGAACAACACAGGCAGTGACATGGCCGGGGAGGAGGGTCACCTACGCGCTCGCTACGGTTAGGCCTGCGAAGGCTGCGATAGGACCTTTGTAGGGCTACACATCGGGAAGGAAGCCTGCACGCAGTGCTTCTTTGTAGAGGCAGGCAGACAGGCACGCAGACAAAGACATGCAACGAAGCATGAGCGAAGAGCATGCACATGCGATAGATGATGCAGTCGCCATGCCAACTGTCCCATAAAGGTTGGCGGAAGCACCAGTAGCTCTCAAATTAATAAATGGAGGCGACTCTAAAGACTCTAAAGTTGTTGTACCGTTCAGTACTTCAGAGTTCTACCCTAAACCCTAAACCCTAGTAGACATCTCCTCGATGGCGATCCAAAGCTCGGAGGCATTCTTCTCCTGCGGCTCTGCAGAGGCTCAGAATGCGCGGATTGAGCGTTGAGCTTCGGGATGTTGCATGATTGGCATTGGGCTTTGGGAACATCCGCAACTTACTGAACTTTCCCCAAGTCTCGACCCTGCTAAACATCTCGAACCGAAGCGTTAAATTGTTTGATGGTTGAGTGCAGAGCATCTACTGGCGTCACTGCGTCACTAGTAGGAACTTTCCCCCAGCCTTGGCTCGCTCTGCCTCAAGGACCAGAAGCGGCCGTGGAAAACGGTCGCCAACCACGCAGGCCCGAAGCCCGAGGCGACCCAGCACCTTTGCACAGCTTGGGGATCCAGCAGAGCTGTATCCAAGAAAATCTAGAATCTAAACCTTCGCTGTGGTGGGCTTCGGGTTCAACATGCCTTCTCCATGGGCAGCGGGTTCGTCATCTCTCCACTCGTATGGACAAGGAGATCATCGCTGCGAGACACGTGACGAAGCCATGTGGAGCCGTCCCACCTTTCAGCGCAGGGGCAATAACAGGAGCCGGGGAAAGTGCAAACACTTGCCTTCGCTGAAAGCTGCTCTTGTCAGCGGGGAGGAGTGGGGGCTGCCCCCCTCTCCCCCCTCCCGCCCTCACCCATCCACCTTACGACCACCCACCGCCATAGCTTCCAAGCAACAACCAACATTATCACATCCATGATTTTGGAGATTCGGGCTCATGGACAAGTAGTGTTTCAGAAGGATTTTACTGCATGAGGTTGTATGTACGCAGCTTGGATCCGTTAGCTTCATTCATTGGCGTCATTCTTTCGTCAGTCTTGACTCATTCCTCATTTGCTCTTTGTGCTCTGTCCATCGTAGGTATCTTGATGTGATGTTTGAGGTTGGGCTTGTGCTTTCTCTTGGCTTCGTTGTAGCGTTCATTCCTTCCTTTTGTCTGTACAGTTTGGTAGTCAGGCCCTTCTCTTGTGTATGTGTTGTGCTCAGCATCAAGGGCTTGGGGCCCAGGGGGTTTGGGGCTGCGAATGCCCCTGTGTGGAGCCAAGGCGCTCAACTTCTTCGAAGATATCCCCTGTCCAGTACTCCTCCACTGTCAGCTGCCCTGGACCCGTCAGTGGGCGGCCCTGGCCGCCTTTTAGGTACGCCTGTGCCGCAGATTCTGCGCCGTGGAGCACCAGCTCACCACGCCGTGGCTCCTCCGACGAATTGAGCAAAGAACGAAAGGAGTAGGTGGCACCAGCCACTGGCTGTAGCAAGTCTGCCCTGGCGCCTAAGCGGCCAAAGAGAAGAGGCCCGCCCAACTCTGTTTGCCCGTAATCCACCTGCAGTTTGATCCCATGCATCCTGCAAACCTCGGAGCAGCCTCGGGGCAACTGCGCCCCTGCAAAGGCAATGTGATGCAAACGCCCACAAACAGCCGCATAGGAAGCTGCTTCTTCACCTCTTTCCAGCTCTTTGCAGATCGCCTCAATCACCCAGGGGACCGTGCTCAGGACTGTAGGCCGAAGATCTTTACAAGCTCCCAGTAGCAAGTCCACGGTCACCGGACTCGATTCCGGCGCATCCAAAACTGCACAGCGGATCCCTGCGTAGAGGTTGAAAATGAAGTTCACGGTCAAGGCGATGGCATGGAAGTTCGGCAGGAAACAAACTGTCCCAGCGTTTGGAAACAGCACAGCCTCGGACTTCTCGCGTGAGATGTTCCGGCAATTCCACAGCAGGCTGCTGTGGCGGTGGGGGACGGCCTTAGGCGTGGACGTACTACCTGAGGTGAAAAGGATGACTGCCACGGGGCTGTCGTCTCCGTCGGTCTCCTCGCCGGGCTCCTCACTCTCCTCACCCTCCTGCCAAGTCATTCCTTGCATCAAGAGAAGCTGGACATCGACCTGCTTGACCAACTGTTTGGCGGCTGCCTCATAATGGCAAGAGGCCAAAAGCTTTGTACACTTAGCCGCGGACAACATGGCTTCTTGAATAGCCAGGGGCTGCCTCCAACTAAGCAGAACAGGCACAGCTCCAAGCTGCATACATGCAAGTAAGAGGACCTTGTAATCTAATGTGTCCTGCGAGAGGATTCCAATATGCTCCTGAGCCACGACGCCCTTTGCCTTCAACCATCCAGCTGCGCTCTGCACCATACTGGCAAATTCGCGAAAACTTAAACTTCGAATAACCCCCCTTCCAGGCACCCAGATTTCGAGAAATGTAGCATCTGGAATCCGGGCTGCTTGCTCTTTGAGCACCGCTGGGATTGTCTTGGCCGCCCGGACCAGGCAAGTACCGCCGGCGCAGCCGGTCACTAAGCTCTCATTTGGGTTGCGCACGATCCTTGCAGGTTCTGCGTCCTCCACACTCTTACTCCAGGTGGAAGACGCGCTCCCTGAACGGGAAGAGACGAGGCGCGCAAGAAATGGCAAAGGCCGGACTTTGCCTCTCGCGTTAACCCCAGTTGCCACATTCAGACCCACGAAGAGCACCACAAAAACGAGATAATCTTTCCAGAACAATGCTGAACCAAAAGTGGGCAACTGACTCCCCACTTGGGAAGCTGGCCCAGGCAACTCTGAGCGACACAGGCCCACGTCCGTCGTCATGGAATTATCAGCCGACGGGCACCGGTGGTTCCTTTGTATGACTGTAGGAGAGTAGAAACGTACATAGACAAATAGACGCGTACAGTCTTCGGCATGACATTATGCCGGCATGTAGGGCATGTATAGTGCATGTATGCATGCATGCGACGACGTATTGAAATGTGTGTGTGTGTGTGTGCATATGTTCAAGCATGCTCATGTGGGCACGGGGATGGGTGGGTCAACCTTGATTAGAAACAGCCAGCATCTCTCAGGGTAATCTTCGGCTTCCGAAACCACTGTCGTCTCAGAGCCTACGAACCTCTGCACTACTCAGGCTCTGTCAGGCTCGGGCTGCGCGGTGGCCTCGCTTGCGCCAATGAGGATACCTTGAGAGCAGCACGTCAAAAGAACCGCCGACTTCCGAGAAATACAGACCCGGAGACGCAAATTACCTTTGGAGCACCTGCTTCACACCTCACATCTTCCCCTCACTATGGCATCTAGAACTTCGGACGCTTGTACATCACCAGCATGGCTTGAAAACATGCAGAGCCTGAAGGTCTCCAGGCCTGGCTGGGGTTTCGAAGTTCTGGACTTTCATGATTTGAACCTCCCACTCTTGAAGAACACTTCGGCAATGAGCAGCTCTTGACTGCTGGCTGTATTTTCTAGCAGCAGGCTTGCAACCGGCAGGCGCATCGAGTTTGAAGTGTGGGCGAAATAAGCAGTGAGGCAATGAAGTATGGCGTCTACGGTGTCCTTGTCCGGGGAATCCCACATACATCACAACTTCCGGCGATTATGAGCTATGGCAGAAATATCATACAGATAACAAGGTCAGAACTTGTGATCCCTCGGGGTCGTTTCTCTTTTCCGAAACCCAGGCAGCAATCGTGCCGCTCATGCTTTATTTTGCTGGTTCCTCTCACGGAGCTGCCAAGAAGCCATGACACTCTGCGTTCAAGTCCAAGACGAAGGGATGTGTGAAGTCGCTTTCACGATGGCATCAGGAACTTCGGATGCAAACACCTACAAAATCCTGTTTTGTATCCATAATTATTATGGCTACGAAACAGCTACAAGCCTGAACTGTTCGGTATCTGGCCGGGGTTTCGAACCGTCTCAAGAAAGGTTTGTAGTCTTCAAGAACAAAGCTGAAGCAGTGAGCTGCGTTTGACTGGTACACTTTCATGGCGTGCTGTCATGTGCCGTCTAGCAAGCCACACGGCCTCAACGAGAATGCGCAATGTGCGGCCACATGATCAATCGACGAGTTCAAGCGACTTTCAAGATCGCATGAGCAGCTTTTCATGCTATACTTCTCAGCGAATATCAGTATTTACTATCTACGACGGCGGCGATGTGCTTCTCCAACTGCCCAGGGGCCCTGCATGCGTCAGGGCCCTGCATGCGTCAGGGGCCTTGAAAGCATCAGTGGGCGGCCCTGGCTGACTTTTACGCGCGCCTGTGCCGTCGATTTTGCAGCAGCAGCAGCAGCAGCAGCAGCAGGCAGCAGCAGCAGCACCAGTTCACCACGGCGTGGCTCATCCGACGATTTGAACAAAGAACGACAAGAGTAGGTGGCACCAGCAACTTTTTTTTGCGACAGCAGAACGTGTCCGGTTGAGCCAGAGTTTGATGGCCTGCCGTTGCCCACCACTGAAGAGGGTCCACAATGCAGCTAGCGTGGGGGCAGGCGGCTGGCCGGGACCTCCTGGAGCCACCTGGCGTCAGCGAGGTCCTCATGCAGGTCAGGTTCAGTGCCCTTGCTGAGCTCGGCAGCAGGAAGGAGTTCAAGCAGCGAGGCAGCGTACGCTCGCTGCGCGGCAACTGCAAGGAGGCCGGGCCAGCGCACTACCCAGGCGTTCATGGCGGTGGGGCGGAAGCGGGCAGGCACGGCTTCGGCTCGCTGGCGCGCCAAGAGTCGGAGCAACTGGGCAGCCTCTGCCCCGTACCTGCCTCCAACCTCGACACCAACTACAACGAGTCGGCACCGGCTCGCCCGGGCGAGCTCGGGGTAGGTGTCCCGGCGTTTACGCCTGGCGGCAGCCTCGACTGCATAGCCCGGCTGCACATCGGCTCGCGGATGGGCTTCGCCTCGCCTTGTAAGCAGGGAAACGATGGTGGCGTCGAGTGCGAGCTGGGAGCCGTGCCAGGGAGGGAAACCGTTGGCGACGACCTCGATGATGCGCCATTCATCACCGACTGGCGAGTCGAGGTTCATGTCGGCGAGGCGCACATGCCTCGCGACCCGCGACCCGTGCTCGAGCGGGAGAGCTCGGCTGGCAAGCACGCCGGATGTGGCGCACGCGGACCGGTGGTCGCCAAGCGGGTCGAGCAGTCCATGGCAGCGGCAGTGGCGAGGCGCGAGTGGCAAGGCAGGCGGAGGAGCAGCACCCGGAACAGGGCACTAGGGAGGGTGAGATCGTACCGCGTCGGCAAGGCGGTCATGGCGCGGGCTGCAAAAGACCGAGCTTGCGACAGCAGCAGTGCGCGAGATGCAGGGGGAACGTTAGATGCAACTCGCAGATGCGCTCATTGCTAGCTCGGGCAGCGACCCGTTGCCAGTCGCGGAGAGGGTCGGCTGGCTCCTCACCTCGTCCGCTAGCAGGGGGCGCCTCGGCTCCTCCACTAACAGCGGACCGTGCTGGTGCGTCGTAGCCGTTGTGACAGACGCCTGCCCGAGCCTGTGCCGCCGCAGCAGCGCACGGGAGTGGCACATCGCCTTGCATCGCGCTGAGGAGGCGGTCAGCTGCGGCAGCGGCCCGGCGGCGGATGACGGGCAGTGTGTCGCACCACCATGCCCAATGCGCCACACAGCGGACCGCAGCCCAAGGCCTCCGAGTCGAAAAGGCAGCCGGGCTGTCGTGAGGCTGGTAGCGGGGATCGGTGCGTCCCCGCGTTCAAGCAAGTCGGCGAGGCAGCGTGCGATTGCGTCATCGTGTGCCTCGGCGAAGGAGGCGGTGAGGTGCGGGGGCAGTACTCGCAGCAAGTAGTTGGCGCGAGGGGAGGCGCAGGAGTGCAATAACAGCCACGCGGCTTGCAAGTCCTCGAGTTGAGGGGGGCGCTGCAGCAGCTTGTTGTGTTCCCCCCACTTGTGTTGCAGCTGCAAGGCGACAAAGCCATCATGCCCGAGCGGGGAGCCGAGGACTGTGAGCCCTTGACGCTCAGGAGGCAGCGACCAGTCACCGACCCAAACTGGCGCGTCAGAGTCAAAGCCAAGAGCGGCGATGCCGGCGGGCTCCTCACCGGCAGCGTTCCAGATGCGGGTTTTAAGCCCTCATGCAAGCGGACACGTGCGTGCTCCCAGAGCGCGCGCGCCAAAGCGTCATACAATGGCCCTATACGCTCAAGCTGCGCGATGATATAGGTATTATCGAGGAAGGCAAACGCCGCTTCTCCGTCCGCGAGCTGGGTCTGCAGTTGGGCGAGGGCTTCATGCTGCGCCAGGGAGTATAGTGCCGGCATGAGTGGATCGCCTTGTTCACCGCCTTCTCCCTGGCGAACCTCATGGGCCCGCCCCGAGTCGTCGAACCACATGTAGGTGCTGGGAGTCCCGTAGAACTGCCTCGCGTAGGGGAGCAAAGGCTGGAGAGCCGGCCGCGCGAGGAGCGCGCCTAGCATGGACCCCGTAACATGGTCGAAGAAGCCCCCACGGCATCGACAGACAGCACCGTGGCTCGCGGAGAAGATTCGGTGGCAGCACGCGGGGGCCGGCTGACAGCCTCTGTGCCAGCGCAGGTGCTGAGGCCGAACTGGTAAGGCAAGCATGCCTCCTGCAGGTGTGGGGCGACATGTTGTGCGAGGACCTTGCCGACAAGTCGGCGGAGGACGTTGCCGACAACCAAAGCACGGACCCGGCCATTGGGCTTGCGCAGCGCAACAAGGCGTCCGACACGTATGCCTGCAGAGGGAACCCGCGCATTAACGAGACTGAGGGGCAGCGTGAAGGAGCCGGCTGTCCTCTTGATCATCAAGCAAGGTGCGGAGGTGCTCGGCGGTGGTGCCAGACGGCCCGGCCGCAGAGCCGCGGCAGGCGCCGCGCAGGGCCGCGAGGAACGCGGGCATGGGCAAGGGACACTCAGGCTCTTTAGATCTCTTTAGCAAGTCTGCCTACCGTGACGATGCCCTTTGCCTAAAATTTACATGAACTTCGAACAATCCCCCTTCCAGCCAGGCACCCGAATTTGAAGAAATGTGGCATCTGGATTCTGCACTGCTTGCTCTGATCCTCCAGGTTGTGCATCTTCTATACTCTTACTCCAGGTGAACAACACCCTCCCTCAACAGGAAGGTGCCAGGCGCGCAAGAAAAATTGCCAAGGCTGGACTTCGACTCTAAGCCCAGACCCTCGAAAAAACGAGATAATCTTTCCAGAACACTGCTCAACCAAAGTTGGGCAACTAATCCCCCAGTTACAAAGCTGGCGAAAGAAAACGTAAGGAGGTCGGTGCGTGCGGCATCATGGCGTATGCAAGCATTTAGGGCATGTAATGTTGCATGCATGCGAACATGCATTGAAACATGCATGCATGTGTTTAGGCATGCATATGTGCGCACCAACACGACGAGCCAACTTGGACCAGAGACAACCAGCATCGCTCAGGGTAATCTTCAGATATTTGCAGCTTCCAAAAATACTCCCGTGTGCTAACCTCTGAACTAACCCCCAGCTCTGTCAGTCTTGGTGGGGCGGAAGTGATGGCAAGGACAGACCGGGAATATTGAGCCCAGAAGCTTTCAGCTCGAAGTCTTGAAGTTGGGCGATCCTCGGTGTTGCAGCGTCTCAATGGGATGGACATTGCATCCGCCAACTACACGTCTGTTGGGATCATATGGGTTTGACTGCACATGGCAATAGTACGCTTTTCACCGCAACAAAGCCATACACGAGGTTTATCACATGGAGTGGAAAGCTTCCGAAAACTCTGGGCCGAAGCATCACATGACGTGACGTTGATGCTGGACTTGCTCGGTTCAATCGTGATGCAACGCTTTTGGTCCTCCTGAAACGTATAACGTTGGCATACGTTTCGCACAACACAATCAAGAGCTGTCCGGAAACGTGTCAGCGGCCGTCAGGACTGTTGCTGTACTTTATTTTTCGAACGCGTTTGCCCGACGAAGACAAAGATGACAGTCAAGTTGCAACGCTAGAACTCCAACATTCTCGTGCTTGACTTGCCGATTGTGCCGGTTGTGCTTCCGGCACACAATCTGCATCCGTACCCTAAGGCCTGCGCCCATAGAGATTGGAGCGATGGAAAACCACAACGTGATGAAAGTGGCAAGCATGCTAAGCAGGGTAAGCCCAGCAGAAGGGCCGAAGGTGCAACCAGCACGGGATAGCACGGGCGATGGCAACAGCACTCATAGAGGCAAAGTTGATGCCGGCAACGCCAGTGCCATTAAGGAACTTCCGTGTGCAACTCAACATAAAGCCCGCAACTTTTCCAAAAAACAGCTAGATTGAATGGTAACGTGTTTCTGCGCGACGGCTACCCTGAGCAGGCCGGGATACTAAGGATCAACAGAGCTGGTCCACGATCTGAAAATCACTCCTGGAAAAAGATTGTGGTGCTAAAATCCAAGGCCGTTTAAGCGTTGTCGATTGCGCCCAACTGCACGACTGTCAAGGCGGCATTGGTTGCCTCGGCTTGCTGTCCTATTGCAGGGCACGTGTTGCTGATAATGAATGATAATGATTGGAGTTGGTTCGCCATCTTGCTGCCGTGTTGGACTTCGCCGACGTACGGGGCTCCGCACCCTGCCGCTTCGACGGTGAACGCTCCGCGTCTAGGCCGGAATGGCTAGCCGTTGATAATTATAACGAAGGACCACTCCTTTCGACAGACGCCAGAAGGTGTGTGTATGTGTAAATGATGGTGTTATTCTCGCCCACCTGTTCACGACAGTGCAAGCTACGAACTGCCGCTACTCGCTTGTTCCGCCACAGTCAGCCGAAAGACGGGAACTTGCCGGCACGCTTCCGCGAGGAGCTCGTGCAGCTCAGGCCCGGGACCGTAGCTAAGAGGCTGCCGGAGGGGCAACTGGACCAAGGAAGCAGCGAAAGCTCGTTGCGCATGTTGCGCAGCGGGCCGGACCATCGCGAAGCACAAACGGTGATCGCGGAAGGTCGCAGGTGCGCAGGGACGCTGCCACGATGCTTCGCCAAGAGGCGCAGGAACCGGACAGTCTCAGTGTTGAACCTGCCGTCACTCCCGGTGCCGAGGACGACAAGGCTTGCGCCGCGGTGCCTCGCTACTGGTTTCCGCAGCGGTGCACGTGTGCATAGTTTACCTCGGCCAGTTGGTGACTAACGATTCGCACTGAACCGCCAACATCAGCGGTGAAATTTGTTCGCTCAAGAAGTTCGGCGACGCCCTGGCTCGGAAGAGCGCGGACAGGGCACCAGCATTTTCCTGTGCTGCCGATGGGTATCGACAGTCACCCCAGACAACACCTGCCTCGCTGTTACCGCGCGCCAGCAGTCCGCTTTGCAAAGGCAGTGCATCTCGAAGCTTACGGCGTACGGCACACGCGCGCTCGTGGCCGCAGCGCGGACGTTGGCTGACCACGTTCGCGCCACGGTGGACTTCTGTGCCACCGTGCTGCTGAGGCATCACGGCATTGCCCCGGCCCTTTCCCGCCTACAGCACTGCGACGCATGGCGCCGCCAATAGTGCGGACATGGACTCGGATGCCGTTCCCATGTTTTCGCCGCCGCAAGTACAAGCGACGCCCAGTGCAACGAGGCCCGCAGGGTCGGTCCTTGCACGGGGCAGCATGAATGGAAACAGCTCCTCCGCTCGGCTGCACGACCTCTGACAAGCGCGACCCTGATGAACCGGCATGCGCCAATGTCCGACAAAGCGACTTTTCCAAAAGTATAACCACGGCAGCGGAGTTCGCACCGGGCACGGAGGCCACGTGGGATTCGTTCACTGATCCGCGAAGCGCCCTCCCTAGGCCTGGGTCGTGCCGCCGGCAAAGCTGCCTCAGAACAAAACCGAGCCGTCGATGCCTTCGTTCAACTTTCAGGTCCGAGGGGTTGCCAACGCACTGCGCGAAGCTCGACGGGGCCGGCGGCCATGTTATCCGGCATGAGAGCTGAGCTTTGGAAGCTGTTTTTGCAGGGTTGTTAAAGAACGGGCTTCACTAAGCTTTCCTACTCGCAAACTGAAGCGGAACACTTTTGTTCCTGCTGGCACTATGTCCTTTTGTTATCGAGCCTATGCGCAACAGACGTGCACCGGCTGTTCCTGAGCATTAACACTGTTGTACCTGCAGCTGTACTCTCACAGGTGGAATGTTTAACACCCCGCCTTCGAAGTTGGTGCCGGTAAGTTCCTTGCCAAACTGGCTTCGACACTTCTCTTCTTTACAAGACAGTACCTGAGCTGCGGTGGCTTTTGTGTTCCTCTACGCAAACGTTTCCGTTCACTCGCAATCCTCTCCAAGGTTGCTGGCTGTACAAAGAAACTTCTCTAAGTAGTTCCTGCTTACTTAAATCACCACAGAAACAAAAGGGTCCTACCACGGTTCCTGTGTTGCTGCTTTCACTGCTTTCCTCGGCTCTCTGGCCTCAATGCTTTCCTTGGCTCTCTGGCCTCACTGGAAGTTTGTGGTTCCTTCCTGGTCTTCTTCTTCGTCTTCAACCACCACGACTTCTGGGTCTTCGCTTCCTCTGGCTTTTCCTTTGCTCTTTCCTTTGCTTGTGAGGTAGTCCTCGAGCTGCTTGGCCTGTGCCCGGCACTTTTCTTTTCCTTTGCTGTCGCGGCTTCCTTTCTTCCACCCTTCTTCTTTTGTTCCTGAGTACCAGTACCAAAACTTTGTTCCTTCGTTCCACTTCTACTGGTACCTTTTCTGGTCAATGCTGTAGACCGCATACCAGTTTCCTTGTTGCTGTCCTTTTCCTTGGCCCTTCATAAAAGAATCCACGTTCACTGGGCCTTTTCCTTCAAGTTCCTGTCCTTTTCCTTTCCTGGCTGCTTTCCAGTGCTGGGTCTGCTTCTGCTTCATTTCCTGCTTCCCCTTCCGTGGGTGCCTGCGACCCGGCTGCTGATCCGTTGCTTTCAAGTTCCTGTGTTAGGCTTTCGATCCTTGCCATATCCTCTTTCCATTCCTTCATCATTTCCTCCATCATCTTCTCCAACTTCTTGATCCTGTCGCCTTCGCTGTCGGTGCTTCCCGACGCTGCTGCTGCATCCTTCTCTGCTTGCTTTCTTGCGATGTACGCTGCTGACTCCTTCTGCTCCTGTTCTCTCTTCTTCCTTGCTTCTTTCTCTCTCTTCTTCCTTTCCTGTTCCTGGTGCTCCTTTGCTAGTCTCCTTACTTCCTCCAGCTCTTCGTCTGCTTTCTAGCTTACTCTTCTTCTCTGCTGCTGCCGCTTCCTTGTCTCGTCTCTCCTGTTCTGCTGCTGCTTCCTCTAGCACTCCGCGTGCCTTTGCGATCTTCTCCTCTTCTTCCTTCTTCTTTGTTTCTGCTGCTGCTCGCGCTTCCTCCTGTTCCTTTGACTTCCTGTCTTGTTCTTCCCAGTACTGGGGATCTTCTTCGTCACGGGGTCGAAATCCTGACGCTTCTGCTCTCTGCTGTGGCTTTCCTCTTCCTTTTTGAAAGTTTAAACCCTTATATCAATATACTTCTTATAATCACGGCACGAGCTTCAGATTCTTTTCCAGTCTAAGCTCCACTGTTGGTCCGTGCTTGAGCCTTGGTTTGACCTGCGGTGAAACACTGGATTCCTGTATGTTTCTGTACATAGGGGAAAATTGAACTATCTGTTACGCCCTCATCGCATACACAGCTTTGTCGTGCAATGCGATCATTGTGAAACTTTTCCTACATCCACCACGGTTTTCGCACGCTCCTGTGAGCTGTCTTCACTTCTCGCACGCTTCATCTTTTGAGCAATTTTAACCGTCTTTGACTTCTTCCTTCTTCTTCCTTGTGTACTTTTGTGGATGTCGTTGGCTTCTAGTCCTGTAAACGAAAAACTGTTAAACCGACCATTGTTTTACAACAGTCGCACTTGCCAACTACAACTCAGGCGCTCTCACTCTTTTCCATCTCGCGGTACACGAGGTAGTTTGTTCGGCATAACTCTTTTCAAAGTCTTTGCAAAAGAACTTTGGCTTTGTAAGCCTCACTGGCTCTTTCAGCCTTTTCTTTAAACACGATCGTTGTGCTTTGTCGTGGGACTTTAGCTTTTGCTGTTGATGGCGTTGGACGCCTTTCCGTGAAATTCCGCTCTTTTCTTGGAATCCACTTACAGCATAGCTTCCCCTTTTTCACATACAAGGATAGGCTTACTGCCCGTTCTTGCATGGATTGTGAAACATGCATCGGCGTTGTTTATACACCTGCCTTACGGTGTCTTCGCTTGCCCTGGGCGGCTTTCCGCCCTCACTTAACTTGGTCCTTTAAACCGAATCAAACATTCTCAATAACCATATCCCATGGTCCGCTCTTCTGTAGAATCAGGTGTCCCCGGATCAACTCCGGCTTCTACATTCCTCCTTTGCCTCCTTCGTCTAGCATACTTTTCTTCTTCATGCTGCTCCATAAGCTCTGGAGTTGCTTCATCGGCTTCTGCTTGGCTTGCTGCTCTGAACGCATCAAACGACATCTGTGCCAATTCACCTAGCACTTGTAACCCTGCTGCTTGCAGCATCTCTCGCCTTTGACGGAATGTCAACTGCTTCCATTCTTCGTCACTCATCCGGGAAATAGCTTTTCCTGCTTGTTGCACTTCTTCTTCCGAGAACCATTGACCTTCTTGTTCTCCTTCATAATCTCCTTCCTCTTCAACATGACCAGCTTGGGTCCTTTCGTCTTGGTCATACCAATAACGCCATTGCTGCTCTGCAAAGTCGCGAACGCATTCAACACAGGCGCAACTTTCGTGCGTACTTTTACGTCTTGAGCAGGTTTAAAACTCTTTACGGGTACGTTCCAAACCCTTTCACTTCACACAGATATTCGCACTTCACTTTTCCTCGGGAGCACGGTCTGTCTTGGGTGCGTCCCTTGGGCCTAAACACCACAGTGGAATGCTATACAAAACATGTGGCAAACAGCTCAACTACAGGATTATAGGGAACACACTAAGCGAAATGTTTGTTACCCCCTCTTCGTTGCATCCTCTTCTCGCCTTTTCCTTTTAGAGGTGCTACGAACCCAAAACAGTCGCTCACTTCTCATTTTAAACACGTCGTGGTGCACTGCTTTTTGTCGTGTGAAACGAGTGAGACAAGAGCTACACTTACCGGCCGCTCTCACTAAGCTCTTTACTTCGTTTCACTTCTTTGGCTTTTTAGCCACAAAAGAACTCACTCCTCTTTAGCGGTTTTCCGCTTATCCAACACTAGGTCGGATCGTTTGTGAAACTTCCTCGGCAGCTGTGCTGCAACCTCCTTGGCAGCTGTGCTGCAACACTCCTTTGCAGCTGTGCTGCAAAACTCTTTTGGGGTTTCCCCCTCTTGCTTTCTCCGCCTCCTTGTTTATAGACCTGAGGTACGGTCTTTCTCTTTGATCCCTCCTTGTTTATAGACCTGAGGTACGGTCTCTCTTCTTCTCTTTTTCTCTTTAACTCTTTTGCTGCTCCTTCTTTCCCTTTCCTTGTCCAGGATTCTCCGTCCTGTACTTCTTCTTCGACGCTTCCAGTCGATTCGCGTAAGCTCGCCTCACCGTGGGCTCGTTCTTGCGAAACCATAACGCAAAATCCTCTTTCGACATATTCTCCCGCTGGCATATCGGTTGGTACTGTCCACCACTGCTGTAGTTGAAATCTCCGTCCCAACATACATCAGCAGAGTGCCCGAACCTCGAGCACAGAGAGCACACGACCGGTGCGGTCGCTGCCTCTGGGTCCTCCTCGACCTTTTCTCTTTCTCTGATTTTCTCCAACTCTTCCTCCAACTTTTGATTTCCTTTGCCCAACTCTTTGATTGTTTCCTTCATCTTTTTGCGCTCTTCCTTCGCTTTTCGCAGCTCTTCTTCTTTCTTCTCCAGCTCTTCGCTCGGCGGGGCTGCTGCTGCTCCACTCAAGGTTTTTCTCTTTTTAACTTTGCGCAGCTCTTCGTTCAGTTCATTCACTTCCTTCTCTTTTGCTGCTTTGAGCTCGGCAAGCTTTCTCCTTCTGCTCTTTGAGATCCGTGATCTCTTTCTCCTTTTTATCCAATTCCTCCTTCACTTCTTTCTCTTTGGCTTCTTTGATCTCCTTTATCTCTTTCATCTTCTTTTTCTCAAGTTCCTCAAGCGCTCTCTGGTCGCCCTCATTCAACAGTAGTTTTTCTTCTGGCAATTTCATTTCTTTTCTCTTGCTTCTTAGCTCATTTAGAGCCTCCGAAAGCTGTGGACGAAGATTGTCCATCTCCATCATGATTGCCATTTCCTCATCCATGATGAGAGTCGCTTCCAATTCCTGCTCCTCCTCTTCTTTCCTAATTTTCTCTAGTTGGTTGCCGCTCTATTTCCTCCTTCGCAACGTAGGCTTCATCAGCAACTCTTTTTAACTCTTCCTGCACCTCAAGCTCCTTTGCGATGAGGCGCTCCTTTTCCTCTTCCTTAAACTTCTTTTGCTTCTGCCTGTACATATACAGGTCGCTGTAGATCTGTAGATAGCAAACTTCTTTCTTTTCTCACCAAC